ACATGCATATGCTGCTTCCCCAGCACAGTCGTCAGAGAGTAGTAAGTAGACGAAACAAGTCGAAGTGGCATTCGACTCCGATCCTCGGGCGCGTGCGAATAGGGAGGATGGAATTGCGTAATATTTTACACACTCATCGCCATGTTCAGAACCAAACGCAAATTCTTCGAGATAACCACCATCCGTCGTCTGGCTCGCCGTAGCGGTGTCTGACGTATCTCCGGTTTGATTTACGAGGTGTGCTGAAGGTGTTCCTGAAAAATGAGATCTGTGATGCTGTCACCTACACTAAACACGCCAAGCGTAAGTGGCCATGGATGTCCTCTTCAATAAAAAGGCCCTTTTCAGGGCCATCAAGCTTACATCTTGTAATCAACTTTCTTTTTGAAAAAGATTACTACAAATTATGATCGCCTACAATTCAAAAACGGAAAGAGTTGAGATAATAGATATTTCAGGCATAACATTTGATAACGGCACAAAAGCATTTGTAAACAAACCTTCTAAGGCCCTTTACCCTGGCAAAGTACGCCCACGCAAACCAACAACATCATCGCATAGGGGCAACTATCACCTTTCCGTAAGTGGTATTGGTTTGCGTTAGCGTACTTTAGTTCGCGTGTAAAGGGCCTTAGAATGTTTGTTTACAAATGCTTTTATGCCGTTATTAAATGTTATGCCTGATATGATCAATTAAAAGAACTTAATGCTCTTCACATTTATTCCGTCCACTAGCGGTCCTACGTCAAGCTTCCGTTCGTGCCCCTAGGCACAGACCCTTCTACTTTTTTTTAAATATGCCCAATAACTTTAACTAAATTAAAATCCTTTCGATTATAAGCGGTCCGTCTTGCAAATAACAAAGCTTTCTCGATGGTATCGAATTTTGGATCAACTGCTTCTTTATCGATGACGCGACGTTTTCCTCTTTCACTCAAATCCAAGAAAGGTTTTGAAGGTCGTCCACGTTTTGTTCCCGAGGCCGAGGTTGAGGCAACACATTGCTCCTGTTCGATGAAGTCCTCGATGCCAATCTCCATCAAGCCAGTTCCGAAAATACGACTCAAATCGCTCTTTCGTGCGATTAGCTTCATGCCATTTGTTGATGTATTTAGTAACGATTTTATGGATCTTTTCATCGAGACGTTTACGTTTTTCCACCGAGATGTTATAATTTTCACAAATGAATTCAATGGCTCTGTGAACATTGTCACTATGGCTTAATTTTGCGTCTAATAGATTAATAATGGTTCTATTATCCATGCTCACACTTGGTCGCAACCGTAAATTTGAATTACACTGTAGTAGTTTAAATAAAAGCTACACAAAATACACTATGGCTTCAAATTGACACCAAGGTTGCAAAGACTCATTTCAGCTAAAACAATGTTTTTCTAAATTATGAAATAATTAGATGCCATGATCAAATTTTGAATTGGTAGGATACAAGAAGAGGTTGCAAAGAATGTGTTTGACATATTAAACCTGTTTATTTCACTTCATGAGAGAAACAATCAGCGATTTTTCACAAACTCACTCACTCACTCACTCACTCACTCAGCGATCAGCAAATCGCTGATTGTGACTCATAGAAAGCAAAATTTACAGGTTTTATGTTTCCAACGCATACTTTGTAACCTCTTCTTGTAAGTTACAAGTAAAACATGCCATCATACCATCTTTTGGTTTTATTATTCCGAAAAACATTATTTTAGCTGAAATGAGTCTTTGCAACCTTGAATTTGACACTACAGTAGGTTAAGTACAGACTTAGGTATAAATTAAACTCATCCGCGCATATGCGTAGGTACATACTTACGCATATGCTACTATAATCGTCATAACCCAGGTACTTACTTTAGAATAAAGCATAAACGAATGTAGTTTTACGTTCATCCAACAGTGAACTTTATGATAATGATGACTTCTTTTTGTACAAAAGCTTAAGCCCTTTTTAAAAGTTGGTCATGAATCATTAGAAAATGTTCTTTAACAATATATTTCGACTATACCAACCGAATATAACTCCAAAAGTTGCAAAATAATTGTTGAAAAAGTTTGTTTCCAAGCCGGCTCTTGTACAATTTGAAATCTCCCATAAAGGGTGATACGGTCAAAATTTGGTCAATATCAACTTGACGTATTTCTTTCAATTTTGCATTTGAAAAACCTGAACCCCCTCATTTTGAAGGTGTGTGTGTGTAGAATGTTGCTCCTATTTTGATTTTGGAATTCACTCTTCAGTTGTCAAAATGCCGTCCAAGCAAGAAGAGCAGCGTATCAAAATTTTGCTCGCGCATCGCGAAAATCCGAGCTACTCGCACGCAAAGTTGGCAAAATCGCTAAAAGTTGCCAAATCAACCGTTACAAATGTAATTAAAGTGTTTGGGGAACGTTTGTCGACAGCCAGGAAGTCTGGATCGGGGGGAAATCGAAAACCGGAAGCCGCTGAGACGACAAAGAGAGTTGCCGGTAGTTTCAAGCGAAACCCTAACCTCTCTCTCCGAGATGCCGCAAATAAGCTGGGTGTATCGTCTACAACCGTGCATCGAGCCAAAAAACGAGCCGGACTATCGACTTACAAGAAGGTAGTGACTCCAAATCGCGATGATAAACAAAATACGACGGCCAAAGCGCGATCCCGGAGGCTGTACACGACGATGCTGACGAAGTTTGACTGCGTGGTAATGGACGACGAAACCTACGTCAAAGCCGACTTCAAGCAGCCTCCGGGACAGGAGTTTTATACGGCAAAAGGAAGGGGAAAGGTAGCAGATGTTTTCAAGCACATGAAACTGTCAAAGTTCGCAAAGAAATATCTGGTTTGGCAAGCCATCTGTACCTGTGGCTTGAAAAGCAGCATTTTCATAGCTTCCGGGACTGTCAAACAAGAAATTTACGTGAAAGAGTGTTTGAATAAACGTCTGCTGCCTTTCCTGAAGAAACACGGTTATTCCGTACTGTTTTGGCCGGATTTGGCATCTTGCCATTACGGTAAAAAAGCCATGGAGTGGTACGCCGCCAACAACGTGCAGGTGGTTCCCAAGGACAAGAACCCTCCCAACACGCCAGAGCTCCGCCCAATTGAGAAATACTGGGCTATTGTCAAGCGGAACCTAAAGAAGACCAAAAAAACTGCTAAGGGCGAGCAGCAGTTCAAGGCAAACCGGCTTTCTGCGGCAAGGTGGCTGTACAAAATCTGATGGCAGGGGTCAAGCGTAAGGCCCGGCAATTCGGATTTGGAAAAGCGGAAGCCTAACTGAATATTTTTCCTGAATTTTATACTAATTGAACTTGAAAAAGAAATTTAATTTGATTTTTTGAATAAACGATTTCACCGATTTACACGCGTTTTCCCTTGACCAAATTTTGACCGTATCACCCTTTAATAACCGAAAATTTTCAAATCGCTTATATTTCCAATGGGGCAGGTTGGGGCAGGCAAACTCTTCAGTACTTGTTAGAGTACACTCAAAACTTCATCCAGAGCTGAGAATTAGCCTGGGAATGTGCGAGACTCGAAAGTTTGTGATCAATAAAGTTAAATTTTCATTAATTTTCAATTATTTTTTTTTTCTATTTTTATTTTTAAATTTTTTTGTCTCGATCAAATTTCCAAATGGATTTTATTTTCGGAAAGCTTATTAAATTACCTTTCCAACGATGTATAATGATGTGGTAGTTATATGATAAATAGTGGATGAAATTTTATTTGAGTGGTAGTGTATTTTTGCGGCAAAATTTGTACTTTTCTTACTCTTTTTTGACTTCGACATCCGATATCTCAGAAACTAAAACTGCTAGAAGCTTGAAACTTTCAGATTCTCTTAGTTGAAATGTTTACTATCGACCAAAAATAACGAAATAAGGATTAGTGAAAGTCGATTTTTTGATTTTTGACCGCCTGATATCTGATAGTGCCATGCTCGTTGAGGACCAACGCGCTGGGTGTTTTCGAACGGAAGGTGTTGCGTACCATCTACGGTGGAGTGCAGATGGATGACGGAACGTGGAGGAGGCGAATGAACCACGAATTGCACCAGCTGCTGGGAGAACCATCCATCGTCCACATTGCAAAAATTGGGCGACTACGGTGGGCTGGGCACGTCGTAAGAATGCCGCTCGACGATGCAGTGAAAATGGTTCTAGAAAGCGACCCAACAGGAACAAGAAGAAGAGGCGCGCACCTTGCCCAGGTGGTTCGACCAAGTAGAAGGCGACCTGCGGACCCTTCGCAGACTACGAGGCTGGCGAAGCGTGGCCATGGATCGAGTAGAGTGGAGACGACTTCTTCGGACAGCAGAGGACAACAAGGCCTTAGCCTGATTGGTAAGGTAAGTAACCTTGGGATGAGACTAACTCAGAGAGTAAGAGTCACTTTTACTCAATTGTATGAGAAATTTCTAAAAACGCAGGTCACTCTCTCTGAGTTAGGCTTATCGGCCGTGTAAAATAAAACATTTTCCATAATGTCAAAAATTAACGAAATCCTTAAAACAATGTTGACTATAATCAATAGTACAGAAGTTAATAGAGCTGACTTGATTTTAATTGTTTTTAACTAGTTGAACTGTTGAAGCAACAAGAATAGATATGGATGACAATAACGCATACAAGCTTGAATCGGAAAACTTCCTGAGAATGGTCTAAGCACTGTGAAACATAGCTGATGTTCTAGCAAGGCGAGGAACTTCAAACAATTCTTGGATGGTTTTAATTATGGAACAAAAAATAAAAAAAATATACACTGTGAAGGAATGTTCTTTTGCGTCCCATTTGAGTGACGGAAACTTCCCCGGTTATACTGTAATTTCCTTATTATCTACACTTTTTTTTTTCTTTATTCAACAGTTTTATTATTTTAATAATAATTTAGTCAATAGTAAAGGTTTCAGGTAATAATATAAAAATTATAATTAAAAAAAATATCTAAATACAGTACCTAATATCAGCATTCAAGCATTTCCTCCCTGATTGATTCAATTACTGTTTCTCTATAATAGTGTGTCGACTCTGCTGCTTTAAGCCCGAGGGAGGAAATTGTCTAAAAATTCCAAAAACGAAAAACGTCATTTTCTCGTTTTTTTATTGGGTGTCATTTTGTCTGTCCCATTTTTTTTTCTCTCTCTTCGCGGCAGCACTCCAAAATGTGAGAGCTTGGAGCAGCTCCCCGTAACCGGGATCATTAAGCGTTAAAATTTTGGTTTCATCGGTTAATACACGTATAACGTTTCTTACGATGTCTCTTGTTTCTATGCCTAGTCAAAGTTTCGATTTTCGAATGCCACAATGAGCAGAACCAAAAGTAAATTCAAGCATTTTCTGCGAAAATCGAACCGAAAGTACGTTGATTGAATATTAACACGAGCCGCTCATTCATTTTTGTTTTCCATGTTTTATAATTTGCTGTAAGGTAGTTAATAGTTTGCTTTTTTTTTGCGTCAAAAGTAAAAACGATCCTCTTTCTTAAGTTTATTATTTTTTTAATTCGCTTTATCTCTTTCGCTCTTAACATTAATCACATTGAGAATTCAGTAAAGGATTCCGATTGTAACCTTCATGTTTTTCTCTCTTTCAATATTTTGCTTTAGTCTAATACAATCGAATTATGCGATAGTTGGGATTCACAGGAGTTAAAACTTGGAAAAACACTAAGGTTACTAAAACAAATAATAAGAAGGAAAAAAAAATACATTTGCAGTAGAAAGCGGGATGAGATCTAAATAAAACAAAGAGTATAATATAAACATAAGAAAATAAAGATGGAAGGTTTTGTGTTACACAAACAGTGATAATGATACACTGATCGAAATGAATGTGTTAATTCCAGCACATAAACTTGATGAATTAGGAACAAATTACCTACTATCAAATTGATTGAGGGTGAGGGTGGTGGCGTGGCATATACTTTCCTTCGCTAACAACTAGTATTGGTGTGTGAGCGTGTGCAAGTGCAACTTTTTCGTGGTGATTGTGGGTAAGTGGGTCAAAAGTAATTCGCTCTAAATCGAATCTAAATTCCTTCTCTTGTCGAATCTCATTTGTTTTTCTCACCTATAAATCGGAAGGAATTTGTAGCACATGATTTGATGCGCGTAGAATAATCGAATACCATTGGAGAGTGTGTGTGTGTGTGTGTGTGTTTATGAGTGTAAATCATTCTCGTTTCTCGCGCACAGCCCACACAATCGCAGCGCGTTTGATTGATTTCTTACGACGAGGAGCAGCTCCCTTCTCTCAATCTCAATTCACCTCTCGATCGTTGCCCCGCGTACGAGCTGCGCCGTCGTCGTCTCTAATTCTCTAGAGCAGACCGATTTGCTAAGCAGAAACAAATCCCAAGAGTCGCCCCCGCCTATGTGTGTGATCGATTTTGCGTACTACGGTAATTTGCAAATTAGTCGAGTGTGTATGAATGTTAAACAACAGAATCTTTTCGAATCCTAAAAATGTACGAAAAAAAAATACATATATGCATGAGTTTCCTGCGGCGAGAGATGAAAAGTTCAATAGAAGCGGAAAATTTGTCGAAAGTTCGTTCGAGTGGGAATTCTCGTTTCGTTATTTTTTTTTTTTAATATATTGATTAGGTATCAACTCGAAGCGTGTGATGAAAGGCAACCAAATAATTTGGATAGAAATAATTTTGCACGGAATGGTCGATCGCGAAAGCCAAAATCAAAACGTGGAAAGCTTAAAATAAGTAAATAAGCCGAAACCAAAAGCACAAAGCAACAAAAAACAAATGGTTCAGAGTTAGCAAATGAGAAGAAGCGTATTTACCACATGTAATTTTCGGTCTGGGGTGCCCGCATGACGCCGACGCCGCCGCCCAACCGACGATAGTTCATACAGCCGCACAGTCGCCACTGGTTCGTTTCCGGGTCGTACACTTCAATCGTCTTCAGATAGGCCGTTCCGTCGAAGCCACCCACGGCGTACAGCTGACCGTTGACCACCGCCAAGCCGACCTGTAAAAAGTGGGGTGAAAAGCGATCAAATTAAGTGTATTGTTAGAGTTGTATGATTCAAGAGGTCTACCCCGTGTGGCATAATATTGAGTCTACATATCGAATGATTTAAACTTTGTTCCTATGAATTAGTATACTTTAATTCACTGCTGAAAATTAATATCAATCTCAGCCTGGACTAACGAGGCATCCAAAGTTAACCTTATCTCAAATTTGAAAACTCCAACTCTATTGTTTCAGCAGTGTCAAGTCTACATAACGAACGCTCGTCGTACTCACCCCACTCCTTCTGGACGTCATCGCCACTATGGGACTCCACGAGTTCGTGTGCGGATTGTACCGTTCTGCGGACGACAGCTCCATACAATCATCGCGTCCACCGACGGCATAGATAAAGTTGTTGAACACCGCACAGCCGAGATGCTTTCGCCGGGTCGACATGGGACTAACCGCGCACCATTTGTTCTGCCTAGGATCGTACCTTTCCACCGTGTTCAGCGGACACTGGCCATCGGAACCGCCGATGGCATAAAGGTATCCTCCTAGCACAGCCACGGCCACACCCAACCGACGGGTTGTCATCGGAGCCACCTTGGACCATTTGTTTTCCTTAGGGTCGTACCGTTCGACATGGTTCAAACACTGCACCCCATCCTGTCCACCAACGGCATACAGGAATCCATCTAGCACGGCTACTCCCACACTGGTCCTACAGCTAGTGGTTGGAGCGACGTCACAGCTCCACTGGTTAGTCTGCGGATCATATCGCTCGATACTATTCAGATAGCTCTGCCCGTCGTGTCCTCCGACGGCATACAGGAGATCATTCAACACTGCCACTCCGACGCCACAGCGGCGCTTACTCATCGGAGCAACCATCTTCCAGTCGGCCGTCTCCGGATCGAATCGTTCGACAGATGCGATCGCATCACCCGAGCACCATCCACCTACGGCGAACAGGACTTCTCCCCTTCGTGTCGGTTTCCTTGGACGGGTCCTGGGGCCCTGCATCAGGGGGCGTTCTTGTGGAAGTAATAGATAGTTCTTCGCTTCGTCCACCAGATCACGACAGGCTTCGTCGGACCGTACAAGTAGATCTGATCCAACCGTTCCCACTAAGAATTTTGGACTCAGCAGAGGCATTCGGACGTGCTGCAGCACCTGAGCCAGATGCTGTCGACGTTCAGCAACGTTGTACTTCAACCAGGCCATCACGGCGTTGAATACCTGTTCTTCCGAGCGTACGTTCAGCTCATCACTGCAGATTATGTCCACTAACTGACCGACCGGAAGCAGCAAAAACTCCTCACTTTCCATCACTTCTTGAAAGTTGTGCTGCGTAAACTTATCTGCAATTCGAAGCAACTCGCGACACGAGTGCGTATCGGCGAATGCTCTAATACCCAAACAATTAGTCGGATCCAGTTGTCGTTTGAGAAATTCGCAACAAATGTCCTGTATTTCCGCCAGCTGCAGTAGACATGCCGCCGGAAGCAGGGTTTGCACGTTCGATTCCTCGACGACGATGTGTGAAGTGTAGCAAAAATCAATCAGCAGTTCCATTGCGTTTTCATCAATGTCCCGAATGGTCACTTCAGTCTGACGAGATTCTTCCAACTCTCCAGTAAACATGGCCCGAAAATACGGACTGCACGCAGACAGGATGACACGGTGAGCAAATATTTTCCGTCCGCTGACGTTGATGACCACATCACATAGCTCCCGATGTCGGCGCAGAACATTCAGCTCGGTCAGTGTGACTCGCGGGTGTTTCTCCGAGGTGTGCGATAGTCTAAAATCGGTGACGTAATTAGCGTGTTGAGATGATTACAGACAGCATTGGGTACATACCTCGCCGGAGACGGAGGACGATCGGAAATTAGCACGTCGCCCATTCTGTTGGCCGCTAGGCGCAGCGGGGCAGAGGCCCAACCCCACACGGTATCTATCTGCAATGAAGATAATAAACATCGAGAAAAGTAAAGTGAAATGAAATGTAAAACACGCAAGTGATGGTCTGGCAGCAAGGCAGCGCCCCAAAGATAGGAGGGAAATACAAAACAAACGAACAACTGGCAGTAGTAATGCAAGAAGCGTGAGATGGACAAGGCAAAAAAGACATGAAAAACGAGGGCAAATGGCGATGTAACGAAGAGATGCCAAACTTGGAGAAATTATAGTTATTTTAAATCACTTCGATCAGCCATACATAATCATTACTCAGTACCTACTCTCCCACTACAATTGACTACATCCCAAATTAGGCACAACAATATCGCCAAGGACAACCACACCGCCTCCTCCTCGCTACTATTTAATTTTATGTCATTGCCCCTTCCCTCATCCGCTTCCACTCCCTTCACGCAGACCTCCGCATGCTCACACGCATCTTCACTTCATAGGCGAAACACACTCGCTAAATTAAATCATCAAAAACATCAAGCCTTGACCGAGCATTCCCTCATCATTCCTTGCGAACAACAAAATAAATTTCGACCAAACACACAATCTAATGGACACACTAACCCATCCACCACCCACAATAATATTTGCTCACCTTTGTAACTTTTCCTGCGAACCCTGGCCGTAGAAAAGAGCGATGAAGCCTTTTTTCTTCGGCCTACGGCGCTCTTCTTCGGCGGCGGCTAAACCAACTCCTGGCTTTCCTGCTCCTCCGTGGCGGCCTCGATCTAATCCACTAATCCGACTGCTGCTAAAATCCCACAAAAACAACGGTATCGCAACCCTCTCCTCCTCTGTTGACGATTACTACACACACTGATTACGGGAACGATGATGCTAAATTGATGACGGTAATAATGATGATGATTATGAAGAAACGAGCGAAGAGCTGCAGCAGCCTCTCGCACCTAGGGGAGGTGATTTGATTTTTTTTTTTTCGCTGTTTTAAAACACTGTCCGGAGCAGCATTTCGCTGCCGGAAAACGGAACCATTTCGACAGTGAACGGTAGCGGACACTTGCGGGCTCAAATTTCCGACGGATCTGGCCACTCAGGAACAAGTTTCACTGTAGAAATTGCAATTTTCGCGACACCACTTCGCCCAGGAAGCAAACTGGATTTTTCTTTCAAGATGACTGCTTTTTCAATGACTGACAGGTGTATGATCCAGGGTAGCATCGAGGGGAACAGTTGTACCCACTGAAACGTTAGCCGAAATATTTTGGTCAGCTTGGTGCACACCACTAGAGGGTGGTCTTACACCAAGAAAGGTGAAGCGAGATCGTGAAATATTGTTGGATTTTAGTAAACCAAAAACAGCATAAACGTAATTAGTGGCGTCACTAATTGCCGAGTTATAAATAAAACAACGAAATAACATAGTTGAAGATGCTATTTCAAATAACAGACTAAAGTGGTAATTTTTATACCATAGATAAGAAGAATTTCGTTGTGATTTTAGGTTAATCGACAAAAATGTCCAATGTTTTGACAATAAATATCATGGCTACAATCTCGGTTACAATGACAATGAAAATCATTGTATTCTTATTGGATTTTTTACGGGTTGTATCCTACAGTTATTTCACTCACACATCTTAACCGAATGCTTCACCTCGGTAATCCACCTCAATGGTCTAACACCACCGACAAACCGACATGAAACTACAACTTTACTCTTGATCGAGAATCCATAACGGCGGATTCAAATGTGCAGTGATTCCAACTGTCAAAACCAAAGAAATTTGTGATCTAGATAATAATAATTTGCCCGAAATAGATTAGACACGAACCAACTCATACATTTTGTATGCGTGTTCGTGGCTAGGGATACACATTTTTCGCGAACACGGCGGCAGATGTCATGTTTAAGCTTTGATCAGAAATTTGATGGTACTTTGTAAGGTCATTCATGTCGGTTTGTCGGTGCTAACAGGGCTTCTCCAGTTTATAGACACTTTCTAACTCACTCGCGAACTCATACACATTCGAAATAAGAAAAAAGATTTCATGGTCGGATATGCTACTATAGTGATTGCCTAAGGCCGAGGGGAATCCATGCTCTCAGAGAGCATCATTACCAAACCAGACCAGACCAGACAGATATATGAAATCATGGACTACTAGTGAAATTGAATACGCAAAGTTGCATATTCCCCAAGCATTGTCATGGTTTTCATTTGACAGTAGTACAATTCAATTCGAAAGCTTCAACTTTTAAGAGTAGTGTTGCGAACGCGACATTTGCTAATCAAGCAACATCATTAATTATCAAGTAAGATCAGAGTATAGAAATAATTGTATTTCAGACAAACCATGTTTCCTCGTAAAGTAAAAACAGGTATAAGGATAACGTTTTGCAAAGAAAGTGGAACGAAATATTACAAGACTAGTTGTTTACTTAGGTCTATGTCTGCCGCGCTCAGGTATAAGCTTAGAATAGAGTTGCAGGATATGAACTGCACGATAGATAAGCGCATGCCAGAAGTGCGTATAGGGACACGTCCACATTTATATTTTTTAACCTGAATTTGAAAGCGTTGTGAGGTGGAAGTTGTAGTAGATAGAGTTGGTGTTGAATAAATAATGAGTAGAATCAAGTGAGCGTGAAGCGTGATAGTTCGCATGTAAACAGAATCTCATTGGTTAGAGAATTTTGATAGGTTAGCAGGTATAAATATGAAGTACCTGAGCTCGTTGAAGGCATTCTTGTAACGAATTTTGGAAGTGACAGACCACCAGCAGCAGCAGAAACAGCAGCAACAGAAACAGCAGCAGCAGAAACAGCAGCAGCAGAAACAGCAGCAGCAGCAGCAATAGTAGCAGCTGCATCGCTAATTCGTGTTGCCGTGGCCGAGGCTGGAAACCTCGGTCCGGTCACGACAATGGCGCAGTCGGTACGATAGTGTAAGTATAGTGGAATGACTAAAGAACTGAAGAATTATTTTGAAAAAATTGCCATGACCTGATGGATGGTAGATAGAATGACCATGACCTGATGGATGGTAGATAGAATTACCATGACCTGATGGATGGTAGAAAGAATTACCATGACCTGATGGATGGTAGATAGAATTACCATGACCTGATGGATGGTAGATAGAATTACCATGACCTGATGGATGGTAGATAGAATTACCATGACCTGATGGATGGTAGATATTATTACCATGACCTGATGGATGGTAGAAAGAATTATCATGACCTGATGGATGGACTAAAGAAACTTAGAAATAGTTAGAATTGCCATGACTTGATGGATGGACTGAGGACATTTTTAAATAGTTAGAATTGCCATGACCTGATGGATGAAATATCTCTGAGATAGTAGATGAAAGTCCCCCGAGAGGGTGGATAAAATTCCCCCAAATGGGTGAATATAATGCCCCCTTCCTCTCTACCATAGAGGTAACTCTAAAACCAGAAGGCGAGCCAGAAGGTCCCGAAGAAACGTGCTCAACTTTTTGGCTCTGGTAGAAACCTGATCAACTCTGGTGAGTCTATGTACATGTAGTTACGGACCTGCAGCCTTTTAACCCACCTGCACATCCCTATCAAATGGCCACCGATTGACAAAATTAAGGAAGTTAGGTTTATTACGAGATTTGTTAGGTTTAGGAATTAGATTAGGAATCACATAGACGAGTTATAGTACGTTCAGACTACAGAGTTATAACATGTTATAGTGCTATCTTGATGGTGGTTTCTGTGTTGCAATTATTTGACAACCGTTATAACATGTTATAACCTGAGTACTGCGAACTAACTCAAAATGCTTGTCATCTGGGAGCCGAGTCAAACTGTCAAACGGGAGCCAAACATTCAAAAGAGCTCGGAAGTCACGTAGGTAGTTACTGTTTGAACCACAAGTAAAGGTGTTGACACCTACTGAAAACAAATTAAGAATTATAATTATGAAACTGTCGAAACATCAACCTTAGTAGGCGGATAATCATCGAGCGTGATGCACGAAAAAGTGTTTTTATTTGATATTAATAATGCCAAAACTGGGTTGCTGAAACAAGAATGTAATCAAACTTTATATGAGTCATGTGAGCTTTGTGGGCAGGTGCACTCCCATCACCATGTATACGTTATTTCTGGAGCAGAGGAGGAGGAGCCAAGAGTTCATTTGACAGCATGTATATACAATTTCGTGAGCTGTTTCAGCAAAAAAATTTGAAACTTCGGAAGATTTTCAAGATGTTTTCTAGCTCACTTGAAAAATAAAATCGGCTGAGTTCGCAGTACACAGGTTATAACCATAGAGGTAACTCTAGGACCAGAAGGTCCCGAAGAAACTAGCTCAACTTTTTGGCTCAGCTCTGGAACTATCTTCGATCCCAAGCTAATCGATTCACCCCTTGAAACATAGGAAAATCCATTAACCCCTCATATTATCTGCCAAACTTTCATAGCGAATCAAAACAACCCAACAAACAATTTGAGCTGATTAAAAGCTGAATATTAGCCGGCGCCGGTGGTGTAGTGGTAAGCGTGACTGCTTTCTAACACCCCAATGGGTCTGGGTTCAATCCCAGCCGAGGTCGGTGGGATTTTTCTGAGGCATAAAAATCTCTGGTCACGTCTTCCTTCGGAAGGGAAGTAAAGCCGTTGGTCCCGGCCCATGTGTGTTGAATGGGTGCGATATCCTACGCAGGTGTGGAAGCTGCCTTCCTGCACATTCGATTGCCGTCAATGGATGGCAATCGATGTCCGTCGGTGATTGGCACTAGATTGCGGAACAGAGACCGACGTTAAATAAAGGAATGAAGAAGAAAAGCTGAATAAGCTATTTTTTAGCTGAAGAAGCATAATTTTGCCTGAATAAGCTCTTATTCAACTTTCAATGTTTGTTGGGAAACATAGTGTAGTACTGGAATTTATACTAGAATGGAATACGTTAATCGATTTGCTTGGGACCAATAGGCTAGTCATGTAGTGAGCCAATTTAAAATCGTTAGTTTCGTATTGATTGTTGTTATAACTCTCCAGTCTGGACAGCGTTTTAGTCTTCATTTTTTCCTTGTTTCAAGATCATTATAGGTGGACAAAGCCGAGTCTTGTCATTATCAACAAGGCATCAAAAGTAACAAGGACTAAGATGCGTCCCTTTGGTTACTGAAAAATCCTGTTCCCGTAGTTTGAAGTAGGACCTAGGACTAGGAATCGGTGGTAGATCTTACATCCCGTAACGTACCACGAAAAGGTGATCTACCCCTGGTGATCGTTGATCTGACAACTTTTTCGAGTGAATCCACACTACATAGTTTGTACTAAAGTCGCTATATTCATAGTCTGGCGGATAGAATCTCGGGAAACAATTGAGCTGTCAAATAGCAGATCCAATCGAGCAAATCACGACTAACAACAGAAAAGAGCATTTCAGTTATTGCGATCAAAATTTCGGAAACCCTTTTCTCGTGACTCAAGGCTTGCCTGTGCAAACTAACACCATCTTTGGAAAGTTTTCCCTATCCGATGATGCTGGTAATTTGCGTTCGATTGTCGAGGAAAGAATAATCAACGTTTTGTTTATAAAAGTTGATACCGTGTACCCCCGCTAATCTGAACGACACCTCATTCATATTAACGGGGTTCATTTTCAATTTGAACTTCTAGTAACCCTATCAGCGTGTTTCTGGTTGCCTTATTTGCTGTTTTGTTTTGATTCTGCGTTCCGTTTTGCAATGTTCCATTTCGCTTTACTCCGTTCCATGTGCAAAATGACGTTTAGGCCATTTTTAGTTTGCACGCCGTGCAGATAAGCGGGGTTCAAATTAAAAAGTGTTCAGATTAAAACCGGTCATATTACCGGGGGTCCACGGTAGTACCTTTTCAATTGTTGGTCTACAATATGTTGAATTGGTTCCGCTTTTTGATAAATCGAAATTCTATCCGCCAGACTATTAATATAGCGACTATAGTTTGTACCTGTGTTGATAATAGAAGAGTTACGCAGACTGAAAGCAAAATCTACCTATCGATTCGATCGAACTGTCAAACCATCTACCTATCGAGCATAGTAAAGGTGGGGGTGCATGGGAGGTATTGTTATCGATACTAGACGAAACTTTCACAACCCATGTGAAGTCATCCGAGGTGAAAACAAAAACAAAGGTTGCCAAAAAAGATGCCCATTGATTGACATCAGTGTTGCAAGCTTCACTCTGCGTAACTCTTCTAATATCAACTCTGGTTTGCACCTGTGTACTGCGGACTCACTCAATGTGCTTGTCACTTGGGAGCCAGTCAGAACTGTCAAACAGGAGCCAAACATTCAGAAGCAATAAACTCAGTTCGTCAAGCATTGCAATCTCATAAAAATGATTCAAACTTTTTCATAACACATTCTTAATTCAATAAGCTCAAAGACAAAAACCAACAGGCTCAATGATGAAAGTATAAAAACCAGCATAGTTTTTATGAGTCAGCTGCGTTTTCAATATCAGTAAAACATACTTTGGCAAAACATGTATGTAAACAAACTTTGATAGAGTCATGGGGGCTCGAGCACTCCTGGCTCAGAGCTTTTGGCGGGAATCAACTGAGAAAGAACAAAACAATTTTAAACTTGAACAAATTTTCTAGCAGTTTTCCATTGGCTTGCAAAATGAAATCTATTTACTCCGCAGTACTCAGGATTGCACTACAGAATACCCTCTTAACGCACCCTGTAAAAAAACCCTTGGAAATAGATGAACAGCAAAATCCCGGAAAATTTCGTACTCATATTCCCGGATCCCGGGGAACAGAAAGGCTCTAATTTTTCTACTTAAAAAGTGTAGCTTCTCCTGACCTTTTCCTGTCTCTCAAGTTGCACCCACCGAAGCTGTCATCGGCTGTGTTTTTGTCATTATTTTTCTTTGGAACGTCATCGGCTTTGTGAGTGAGTGAAAAAAATCATCATCAGATTACTCGCAAAATCGTAAAGGAAAAGTTAGAAGGTGTTTTCTTCGGTTTCTCCTAAATTGTATGGTGTAATCCGTCTCGAAATCGGTGCCACTAGCCATGGAAGCTGTCCCCCGGATGCCGATGGTCAGTTTCGAGCTGAAAACCAGCCCGGAACCAACCAGTTTTGGACCTCTGAAGCAGGTCAGTTTGATGGTTTGAAGGATAATGATGCCCTGTCCTGTTTTGTGGGCTGTAAATTTAATTAGGAAGTGGTTTTTGTTGTTGCGATAAGTGGGCCTGCGGTTAAAATTTAAATTGGTTTTAGTTAATTCACTCAGAGTTGTGTTATGTTGCTTTGAAACTGATAATCAGGAGATTATTTTTTTTTTCGATATGACGTCACCTGATGATAAATGAATGCTTTGTTTTTTTTTTCCCACAGTACATTGCCGAGTATTATCATGAGGATCCGGACTCGTATTCGAAGGAATGCTACCAATTAGAGCAGCTGCGAGGAACTGCCGTGCGGCCATCTCAGGATGTCGACGGAACGGCAGTGATGAAGCGGTATTATTGTCAGCTGCACTCCATTCAGAATCGATTCCTCTTGAATCAGATGCCCGAGAGTCAGCAAATGTTAAGTTTCAGTTGGCGAGATTTGTACACCGGGTCAACGCTCCAGAAGAACAATGTCAAGTTGGAAATGGCAGTGATATTGCATAATTACGGGTCGTTGCATACGCAGCTGGGAGCGGCCGAAGGGCGAGCAGATCCGGAGAGTATGAAGAAGGCTTGCACGCACTTCCAGTGCGCGGCGTGGGCCTTCGGGTACATTAAGGACAATTACGCCTTGTTGCTGCAGGGTGATCTGTCGACAGAGTTGTTGATCTTTATGCAGGCTCTTTGTTTCGCCCAAGCGCAGGAGTGCATCATGGAGAAGAGTCTTTGTGATAACAGAAAGTCGGGAATCATTGCGAAAGTGACGGCTCAAATTGTGATGTATTACAATTCGGCCTTGGCGGCGCTGCTGACTCAGAACGGAGAAGACGGGCGCATACAGGACATTGTGGGGAGTAAGCAATTTAAAGAGTGGAGGAAGTACGTGAAGTTCAAGATTTCCTATTTGTCGTGCATTTTACTGTTGTATCAGGGGCAACAGTCGGAGGAGCAGCAGAAGATGGGTGAGAGGGTTGTGCTGTATCAGGCTTCGTTTGATAAGCTGGAAGAAGCAAGAAAGGAATCAAAGGGGCTTGCGCATATTGATCAAGTAAACGACGCGCTGCAGTTTACGATGGACGTGGTGGAAGCGAAGCGAAAGTCTGCAAAGAATGAAAACGAATTCATCTATCACGAAGAGGTGCCGGAATTGAGTTCGATTTCTGCCGTTCAGGGGGCGAATCTGGTTCATGGAATTGCTTTCAATGTGACGGATGTGGATGCTATGGGGGACGACATTTTCCACCGATTGGTCCCGATGAAGGCTCACGAGAGTAGTTCGGTTTATAGTGAAGAGAAGGCGAATCTTTTGAGAACTGTTGGGACGAAGGTTGAAGACAGGGATAACGAGTTGGCGTCGTTTATGAGCTCGCTGAACTTGGATGCAATCAACGTGCAAAATCCGAACAGTGTCACCGATACCCGTTTGCCACAAGGATTGGTTGATCGGTGTGCCGATTTGAATGCCAAGCCGAAGGCCATTCCGGATTTGGTGCAGTCGATGTCCAATTTGGCGGAGACTTGTGCCGAAGTGGAACTAATGCTGAAGGATATCAAACACATGCTGAAGCAAGATGAGATCCAGGAGGACAACTACCAACAAAAGATTGGCCAGCGATCCAATGGAGGAGGCCACATTACCGAACTGAATAGGGAATTTGCAAAGTATCAGGAAGCTCATAATAAAGCAGGTGAGAGCAACGATACGCTGCGCAAGGCGATGGGCCTGCATGTGTCGAATTTGAAGATTTTGGCCCAACCGTTGAAGGATATCAAGGAGCAGATTCCGATCAGTGGGGAGCAGTTCGATGAAGCGACGCTGAAAGAGATGCAGGGGATTTTGAACAAGGTCAGTAATTTGAGTTTAGTGTTTTTTTTTAAATCATTCAATTGCAATTTTCGACCCTAGGTGAATGAAATGAAGAAGCAGCGAGCTAAGCTGTATCAGGATCTGCGCAACAATGTCACCAACGACGACATCACATCTCAGTTGATCGCTTTGGAGGGTGGTTCCGATAATAAGAAGCGCATGCAAGACCTGTTCAATAAGGAACTCGCTAAGCACGATCAGCTCGTCGCTCTGTTGGACGCTAATCTGAAAGCTCAAGCAAACATCCTGAAGGCACTGACCGATATCTACGCCCGCTGTGCGCCGATAATAAAATCGATCAGTGAAGCGAAGGTTAGGCGAGATCAGTTTTTCTCATCGCTTCAGGGATCCTACGATGTGTACGAAGATTTGCTTTCAAAGAGCGCCAAAGGGTTGGAGTTCTATAAGAAATTACAAGCAAACGTTCAGAAGCTATACTCGCGGGTCAAGGCTGCTTGCGACGTGCAGGATGAAGAACGGAATCAGAAACTTAAATCGAGTAACATGGCGAAGAAGCCAGAACCGGCAAGGGAGAGCCCCAAACCGAGCAGTGGGCCCAAGTTGAAGGACTACCTCAAGTCAGGAAACATCAGTTTGGGTTCGATCAAGGCTTCTGGATTGGACTCGAATCCTTCGGGCTACATTCCTCCCGTGAGACCGAATCCGGTAGGTTCAGAGAGCACCACTCCGAATTCGAGTGCTTCTACGGGAGCCGCTGGGTATTATCAGGATTCGTATGCAAACTACAATTACTACTCACCAGCGGGCAATGTCCCAACTGCGTCGACTACCGATTATACGCAGTACTACCAACAGCAGCAGCAGCAGCAGCAGCAGCCCTATGGTGGTCATACAATGCCTTCATCGACATTCCAATCGAGTACCAACGCTGCCACGGCGAGTTCAACTTTGTCACAACCTCAATCTACGGGTTATGTTAATCCGATCTATCAGAATCCTATGTCCGGTTATTACAGCAATCGACCAGCTACCGATTACAGTCAGTACCCACCTTCACAGCCTTCGCCAGCGCCTTCAACTGGATCCAGCGATGTTGGATCGACTCAGCAGTGGAATCAAATGACTCAACAGTTTGGTGCGATGAATCTCCAACAACCGACGACGTCCTATCAAGCAGACTCCAACATGGCTACAGCGTATCCTCAAGTTCAGACCTACCAAACCGATAGCAGCGTCGTAAGTCAACCATACAATGCTTACAGCCAACCGACGGCTACCAATCAAATCACCCCCGCTCAGTACTACCAGCAACAACAACCGACACAAGTACCTCAAACGTACACTCAGCCTACCCAACCGACACCTCAGGAGCCACAGAAGAACACCAATCCCGACCCAGTTAATACCTATCCTTCTTACCCAGATTATACCTACAATCCCCAAACAGGAACCTACGAGTACACTGGCAATGCTCAAACGTCGTCCTACGTGAACCAGTACAGTTCGTCGGCTGGAACCGCTACTACTACCACTACGACATCATCAACAACCAACTATTATCCAACCCAACCGTCGGCCTACGACTGCAACAGTCAAGTTCAGCAACTTCAAGCCCCATCCTACGTAAACAACTCTGTTTCAAATCAACCGATTACGGCTACGGCCGCGGAAACGACAGTCTCCAGCGTTGGAGTGTATCCGTACGGAGCCCCTTCTCAGACTGTTGCCACCAGCTATGATTACAGTCAAATTCAGCAGCCACAGCCCGTTCAGGATGGCTCCAATCAGCAACAGCAGCAGTACTACCAGCAAGGACAACCCCAGAACTCGTACTACGGTAATGCTGGTAAGTCTTTGTTCTAGAATATTGCGACTCGTAAATTGTGAAGTTATATGAATAGATGTTTGGATTAAATTAATGTTTTTGTATTCGTGGAAGAAAAATTATGAACAACGTTCAAGTATATTTCGAAGATTTGCATAACAAAGTCTCACCGTAGATAATTAGTAGCAAACGTATAACACACAAGTCATCTAATTTCAGCAATATATCCGTTTCGGTACTACAACTACAACTACTGGATTACTGTTCTATTGTTTCAGTGAACTACTTTAGTGTTTCTGGTTTATGGTACGGTTCCTGAATTCTAGCTTCAGCTGGCCAAGTTCTACTGAAAATCGAACAATCGATCGCGAGAAAATTGATCGCAAGAAAATCGAATTCCGCATTCTTAACATTTTTAAAATATTGAATCTAAATATTCATCTACAAATGTTAAGAATCTATGGTTTGAACATGTTTCCCTCTTTCATTGTAGGTTACGGATACCAACCCGCTTCATCAACTGGGACACAATACCAGCAGCCAAACACGGCAGATATCACCAACACAAATCAGTATTCCAATTACACCGCTCCTACTCAACCCATCCCAGATCCAGCCACGGCAGCCTACGGCTACGGAGCCTATGGAACAACCGCAACCACCGATCCAACACAATATCAAACCTATCAACAACCAATCCCCGTTCAACCTACCGTTGAACAACCCACTGCTACCGTCACAGTACCACCCCAACCCCAACAACCTCTTCCCCCAGTTGCCCCCATAACCAAGCAATCAACCAACCTGGATCTTCTATCCGGTATCGATTTTACCCCGGCCCCGGTAGAAGCACCCGTTCTACTACCACAGACTTCGGTCACATCCCGCGATGACGACATCAAAAGCGAAATCCTAACCCCAACCAAACCGCAATCTTCGCCATCGATCATCCCGACACCGTCGTCACAATCTGCAGTACAGCTCGATCCACCCACCACCATCGATCGTAAACCTAGCATGGATAACCTGTCCATCTGCTCGGATCTCAGCTCGATCGATCAGAATTTTGATTGGGATAGTGCCTCTCTGCGGGCCGTCAGAGCCGGTTCACTGCCGGATCCAACATCGGTGTCGAACGTATTGGATCACCCCGTGGGCATCGTTGCAAATACCGTCGGTAGCCACAGCCGAATGGGAAGTGTGGTGGACAGCATTGTGGTGCAGCCGGTACGGGATCCTTTCGAGGATCAGGCCACGCTGAAATGGTTTCATAAGGAGGTCGAACGGTTGGAGAAGTTTATCGACAGTTTGAACGTGAAAACGCTGAACGGGACTACGCCGCTGGACGGCAAGTGGAAAGAACTGCAGGATATGCTGGTTGGTGGTAGCATTTGGGAGCATTACGGGACTGGGGTCTGAGAGCTGTATTTTTTGTTTTCCCACAGGTGAAAGAAGAATCCAAACGACAAGTGGGCGTGGCGCGGCTGTTCCCGGAGAAGAACCGTTCGATCGATTGTGTGCCGTATGACCATGCCCGGGTGACGCTACCGACGGACACGGATAACTACATCAACGCAGTCTTTGTGAAGGTGAGTTAGAGATAGAAAATTTGAGGTTTTCAGGTTATCCCAAAAGTTCGTTCTCAAAGTTTGTCGTCTGGATCGGAAAGAGTTCAATACAATTACAAAGTCGTATACATTTTGGCAATTCTTCTTGGCAGGAGACTATAATCACTGTTCTACCAAGGCTGTCAGGTTGTCATGAAAAGCATTTGCTTTTTATGGACATCATAGAATATATTTCTTCGGTCAAGCCTTCGTTTCAGTGTATAGATTTCTCTCTGCCAGAATCGCTTCATTTCGAGCAATATCATTTTCGTGTAAGTCATTGTGTTTCTTGTTATCGAGTCACGATGAACATTCCTCCTTTCAAACATGACTTGACATTCGCTGGTTTCGTTCGTCAAGTGCTTCAGTTCATTTCATTTGAAGCAAAGACTTGTTTCAATTGACGCAATGAGTGACTCGAAAATTGCTTCCTTCGTTTTTCCACTTTCACTTCAATTCGGGCTCATTCGACTTGTCACGCATCGCGTCGTCAAGCATCAAAATATAGTATCCGCACAATATCGGTTGCCTATAGGAATATATTATTTTATATTAAACGAACCCTAAATTAACGAGGCCATTCTGGAGTCCAAGATGGCGGCCATAGGGGTCAGGAAAAGTCTCAAATACCCAACAATATGGGTATTTTCGGAACGGGGACGACACGAAGGTGCCGAAAATCGATATCCGACGCCATTTTGGAATTCAAAATAGTGACCATTGATTTTCGGAAGTGTCAAATACCCTAAGATATGGGTATTTTAGGAACGGGAACAACGCGTAGATGTCAAAAATCGATATCCGACGCTATGTTGGAATCCAATATGACGGCCATCGGGTTTCAGAAAAAGTGTCAAATACTCTACAATATGGTTATTCTCGGAACGGGAACAACGCGTAGATGCCGAAAATAGGTATCAGATATAGGGGGTAAGTCACTCTGCCACATTGTGTCTGTGCTTATTGTGTTTCATGTGTGCTTTTGGGTGTCGGAAGGTGTTTCTTCGTGTCGACCGAGCTGTCAAAACTTCAACCGAAAAAATATGCTTACTGGCAACCATATCCTCGACCATAACAAAACGCTGAAAATGACAGATCCACCAGCGACTCCTTCGCTGTAGTTTGCTTAAAGCAACAAAGTACATCTGATTCACCGAAGATATTCGAGGACAATGTGGAAGGCGAACTACAACAGCTACTTCAATTCATCAAGATGTTCAAAATTCAGCTCTAAAAGCAACATAGCATAAACGAAACACTACCATTAACTACTACAAGGAGTAGGAGCACAGAGGCGATGAACCCGGTAGTGATCTAGAATTCTAAGCACCTTACTGTTCTGTGATACTCCCAACCTACCAAAATGAATTCATCAGAGCATTCTGACGGATCTAGACAAACTTTTCTACTTTTTGAAATTGTAGTTTATTTAGTCAAACGTAATCCTGGTGGAGACGTTCACATTTTCACTACGGACAAGCAACAGACAGCACACTGCCACTCCTCCTACACAGTTGAGATTGATTAGTGATTACATTGCGCATCAGAAAAGAACTCGTATTCACGCGCTTGAAAGTGCCCATCGGATTTCAATGAATACCGAAACGCTGCATTACCAACTGCCTACATACCAACACACACCAGTACCAACAATCAATACGAAACTAACGATTTCAAATTGGCTCACTACTGGACTAGCCTATTGGTCCCAAGCAAATCGATTAACGTACCCCATTCTTGTATAAATTCCAGTACTACACTGTGTTTGTTTTGATTCGCTATGAAAGTTTGACAGATAAAATGAGGGGTTAGTGGATTTTCCTAAGTTTCGAGGGGTGAATCGATTAGCTTGGGACCGAAGAGAGTACCAGAGCTGAGCCAAAAAGTTGAGCTCGTTTCTTCGGGACCTTCTGGTCTTAGAGTTACCTCTATGCCAGTACCTAGCTATCGTCTTCAACTTTGATCCTTGCCATCATCAATGCTCACTCTTAGACCCGATCGTATCCAGTCATTGATATTCCAGGTCGCGGAATACGGTGTACGTGTCACTTCCGTCTCCCGAGTGATTTTCTTCATCGAGGTCCGGTGCAATCCAACAAACAGACTGCCGTGGTTCTCTCTTCTTTGCAAAAGAAAAAAAACAACAACTAAATTGATAAACAAACGTAAACATTATTGGCAGTGGTGCCAGAATTGATGAAAAAATTAGTTTTCCATGTGGCGGAAGGGTGTTTCAAGTGTGTCGAAGTGTGTTTTTGTGGGTTTTAGCACAAGGTGACAGAGTGACTTACGCCCTGATCAGATACCATTTTGGAATCCAATACGGTGGCCATCAGGGTTCAGAAAGCGTCAAATACCCTACAATATGGGTATTTTCGGCATCGATATCCGATGCCATTTTGAAATCTAATTTGGCGGCCATCAGGTTTCATAAAAAGTGTCAAATACCCTAATATCAGGGTATTTTTCGGAACGGGGACGACGCGTAGATGGTGCAAATCGGTATTTTATGCCATTTGCAGGCCATCTGAAATTGGAAGCCACCATCTTGACTTTCAAGATGGCGTCGGAGATCGGTTTCTGGCTTCTAGATGTCACCCCGATTAAAAGAAAACCCCCCATTGATCGATATTTGATGGTATTTCACAGTTCAAGACCAACAATTGAAATGGCCTTAACTCCATTTTGTAAACAAACCTTGTAAGGCCTTTTTCTCGCGAACCGAAACCTTCATTCGCAAACCTTAACCACAATCGGGTAGAGGATAATTTCCTCTACCTGTTCATTATGTTGGTTTGCCTTTGCGGACTTCGGTTGGCGAGAAAATGGCCTTACAAGGTTTGTTTACAAAATGGTGTTAGGGTCATTTCAATTGGTGGTCTTGAGTTTCTTTAATCCAAAGCCGCCATCTTGGATTTAAAGACGGCGTGACATCGCATTTCGGCATCTACGTCTCATCCCCATTCTGAAAATAACCTTATTTTAGGGTATTTCCGGAGTGATTTGTGATTTGGGCGTAATTGCTTTTGTAAACAAAGGCGTCAATTGCCGATTTCTGTTGAATTAAAGCTCAATCTCATAAACAAACTATACCAAATAATAGAGAAATCATTCTTCTACCTCATAGCGTTATTAGTTTTCGATATTGAGCTTTTATTCGCGAGAAATCAGTGATTGACGTGTTTGTTTACAAATGCAATTACGCCCAAATCTCAAATCACTCCGGATTTGCCACTTTTCCGCAAATCAGAAGACGCCGTCTTGGATTTCAAAATGGCATCGGATATCGATTTCCGGCCTCTATACCATAGAGGTAACTATAAGACCAGAAGGTCCCGAAGAAACGAGCTCAACTTTTTGGCTCAGCTCTGGTACCATAGAGGTAACTCTAAGACCACTGGGTCCCGAAGAAAATCATTATTATTTTTGGCTCACTCAGTACCAGAACAACGGTCCCAAGCAGTCCCAAGCTATTTCACTCACCCCTGATGTTATCTGTCAAACTTCCATAACGAATCAAAACAAACATAGTGTAGTAATAGAATTTCAACTAGAATAGGGTACGTTAATCGTTTGCTTGGGACCAATAGGCTACTAAAGTGGTGAGCCAATTTAAAATCGTTAGTTTCGTATTGATTGTTGCTGGTACTCTCTTCGGTCCCAAGCTAATCGATTCACCCCTCGAAAAACCAATAACCCCTCATTTTATCTGTCAAACTTTCATAGCGAATCAAAACAAACATTGCGTAGTACTAGAATTTCGACTAGAATGGGATACGTTAATCGTTTGCTTGGGACCAATAGGCTAGTCAAGTAGTGAGCCAATTTTAAATCGTTAGTTTCGTATTGATTGTTGTCTATACGCCATCCCGATTCCACAAATACCTATATTGATGGGTATTTGACGAGGGGGGCGACACATCTAAATCTCAAGTTTAGATGCTCAACAAATCTCACACTAGCGAATCAATCTTCGAAAAATATTCTTTCATTTGTCGCATCTACTTGCATCGCTCATCATCTTTTTGCAGGAAATCTTCAGAACTCAGCGTGCGCGCAGTTAGCCACAGCAAAACACAATCTTTTTTGCATCGTAGATAGAGTCGTCCCCCTCGGTATTTGACAATATTTCCCATTTGTTCTGAAATTGGAAGCCGCCATCTTGGATTTCTAAATGGCGTAACATATAAACATTTGATCTGTATACTTCATACTGATTACAAAAATATCAATATTGATGTGTATTTGACTGTATTTCCACTTTTATTAAGTCGGAAGTCTTCGATTTCAAAATGGCGTCGGATATCGATTTTCATCCTCTAGACATCATCCCGATTTAAAAAAAACCTTTATCGGTAGGTATTTGACAGTATTTCCCACTTTTTATTAAACTGTTAGCCGCCATCTTGGGTTTCAAAATGGTGTCGCATATCAATTTTTGATCTCAAGACGTTACCCCGATTAAAAAAAAAATATCCATAGACGAGTGCACGGATGAATTTGAGTTCACGCAGTCGATAAAAAGTGACACAACAGCGGGGCCCTGTTTACTAAAATTGAACACATGAATAATACTCGCGTAACATTTGAAACGGGCCTATCAACTTTTGTACACAAAACTTATTAAGCCTTTTTCGCCCGAACCGAATACGCCCACGCAAACTAACAACACCAGCGGGTAGGGTAAATTCTCCCCTTCCCGACAGTGCTCTGGGTTTTCGTGGGCGTACCTCGGTTCTCGTGAAAAGGACCTAGCAAATTATTTACAAAAGTTGATAGGCTATTTTCAAATGTTACGCGAGCAATATTCGTGTGTTCATTTTTAGTAAACAGGGCCCCGCTGTTGTGTCAAAAAAAATTCAGTAGATGAACTAAAGTTCACCCGTGCACAGGTCTATATTGATGGGTAAACAAACCACCCGACAGTGATAAATTTGACATCCACGTGCACAGTTCTATGCGCATACGCTTAAATGAACAGAGTGAACAATCAACAAAAGTTATAAAAACTGCGCGAATTTAGATCGAACAGCTTTGCTTCAATAGACCTGTGCACGGGTGAACTTTAGTTCATCTACAGAAATTTTTTTGACGCAACAGCGGGGCCCTGTTTACTAAAAATGAACACATGAATAATGCTCGCGTAACATTTTAAAATAGCCTATCAACTTTTGTACATAATTTGCTAGGTTCTATTCACGAGAACCGAAGTACGCCCATGAAAACGCAGACCACTGTCGGGATGGGGAGAATTTCCTCTGCCCGCTGGTGTTATTAGTTTGCGTGGGCGTATTCGGTTCGCGCGAAAAAGGCTTAATATATTTTGTGTACAAAAGTTGATAGGCCCCTTTCAAATGTTACGCGAGTATTATTCATGTGTTCATTTTTAGTAAACAGGGCCCCGCTGTTGTGTCACTTTTTGTCGAGTGAGTGAACTCAAATCCATCCGTGCACTCGTCTATGCAAAAGTAAGTTCATTTGACAATGAAAGAAGAAATGAATACGAGTCAGAAAACTGATCTAAAGTGGTTCTGTTGATGTTGACGGGGATGTGCTCGAAGAGAAGACAGAATGAATTTCAATTGAAAGTGATGGTTTACAGCTTCATCGTCACTAGATGCCTTTCGATTGAAAGTGACTTTGTGGGGCAAAAATAAGTTTCACTGAGGTCTCAGCAAAAGTGACATTTGATTGCTGAGTCTCGGATAATGCTTAGCTGAATTTCCGCAAACAAATGAAATGTTTGCTGAGATCACAGTAAAACTTGTATTGCCGAGATTTGCGCAGCCGAGCTCGGTGGAAAAAACTAAGTGTGTAGCATTACGAACATTTGCCTTCTTAGACTACCTTGTACAATATTTCGAGAAATCCATTCATTTTCGGATTTCTATTTTCAAAGCTCTTCAAGAGGGTTGGTCACCTGCACGTGGCTGTTGGCACAGAGGACGGAAATCATTGAATGGCAAAAAAATAGTATTTCAAATTTAAATGATAGAAACACATCAAATTAATTCCAGCTCCAAGAAGAAAGGTCGGTAGCATTCAGCGATGCAATAGCAAATACAGAACGAATCATAGAGGAGCAATACATATTCTGAACTGGCATTTGTCGTCAGAGACTGTTTTTTGTGAATGGAGTTCACCCAAATTTAATACAAATGCCAGCAGTCAACAATTAAGAGAAAATCAATAGTCCTGATTAATGCACTGCACCAACTAAATTTCATAATAATGATCGATTTTGCGTCAAAACATGGCGATCAACTAAAACAAAAATCTATTATCATTTTTATAATCCGGCCTTTGATCTCACTGGTTTTCGTTTTCCAACTTTTTCATTTTCAAATCACAATTATCACAGTTTAACAAGGAAAAGTCGTCGGTAAGTTGGATCCGCTGTAGGCCAGATTATGCTCGTACTGCTCCTAATAGCTACCATATGTAACCCTAATTGTGCTGGCCGATAGCCCTCACCAAACTTTACTAATACAATCAAATGACCTGTTCTTCAAATTTCCAGCATCTCGGTTTCGGTTGCCCTCAGCTGATTCTGGCGCAAACACCACTCCAGAACACCGTCAACGACCATTGGAACATGATCTGGTCGCAGAAGGCCAATGTCGTAGTGTGCTTGCACACCCCTGCAGAGGTTTGTCCCTTTCCGTCGCCTCCGCAAACGTCCGTAAACAAATTTCCACCGAATTACAGATCCTGGACACATTCTGGCCCACGGAGATCAACCAGGAGCTTAGTTACGGTGACTTTTCCGTCAGTCTGGTCAAACAGTTCGATCTGACCCACTGCATCGAACGGTCGCTCCGGGTCACGATGCTCGGGTCGGATGTCATCCTGAACGTTTCGCTGTTGCAGAACAAACTCTGGCCCAAGCAGTCGGTCGAATACATCCTGGGAATAGCGCAAAATGTGATCGGCGCCTACCGGCAGCAGAATCAGGAACTGAAGCAACTCAAGCCGCTGATTGTGAACTGTTTGAACGGTTCGGATCGATCGAGCCTGCTGGCGGTGGCGATTGCTGCGATTTTGGCTACCCAAAATAAGAAGCCGATCTTGATCAGTAAGAATTAGACGTGGTTTTTCTTCTTCTTAATTTAGCTTCGAAACTGATTATTGCACTTCATTTTTAGATATCGTCGACATATGGTATCGAATATGCTGCCAGAGGAAGGGTGCTCTCCGCGATCCCAATCATATTCAACTGTCCTACCAAATGGTACTGAATAATGGCTACAGTATTCTCAATAAGCGTGAGTATTCCATTATGTTTCGTAGAACCAAGTCCAGGAAATTCATGTTCAAATTTTCCAAACACACACACACAGGAGGAATAATGACATCGTATCAGATGAAAACGGTGCAGGCGACTGCCATCGCCGAAAAGGAGGAAGCAATCAACGACCCATTTAAGGATTTGGATCCCTTGTGGAAATTGAAGTAATTCGATGTTATAGGTATCTATTATTTGAAACATTTTATAATCTGGACTTGAGTTTACATCCTTTTGCAAAGCGCTGCGTTAATGCGCTTTGACGCTATAACTATATGGCTTAATCATTGCAAATTGTTACACACGTTGTGCCGAAATCCGGTGCGAGTTATATTTGACTGTGCATTCGCTACATATAGAAAGCCATTGGTATAATATATATGCATACATTTATTATTTATTATCTAGAAGTGATTATACACCCTATTATAATGATTACTATGATTATGGCGCAGTATAATATATATATATTAGCTAGGTATGGAAGCATAGATCGGGAAGGTGATTTTTGGTCGTGCAGGAAAGAACTGATGTTTTGGATATTTATAACTAAGTTTACAACACCGTCAGGCAATAATAAACTGCTATAATATGTTGAAAATTGTGTTGCAATATTATCTATAGTGGAAAATTTGAGAAATCATGACTGTTTTTAAAGTTGATTATCAATGGTAGGGTTCAAAATAGCACGTACGGCATTCGGAGCATTACGGTATTCCCCCTTACTGACTAAATCTTAAATTTTGAAGCTGAGGGGTTTGTTTTTGTGACTGCTAACACATCAATCAGAATGTTGAAATCTGTTAAAACTGGAGTGCCTGTAGATAGAGTGATCCTTTTTTTTATAATGCGTTTATTTTTCCAGGCTCATTTGCCGTAGCTTTGCGGAGCCGATATTCATTGGTCAAATTACAAAATTACTTAAAACTAACGTTAGTAAAGCGGGGGCCGATTACTCGCGGCTATCTCGAGGTTAGGGGTTACAAATTGTAACAAATGGATGGCAGAGTAGGGATTGAGAGCACAAGGTTTGGAGAGCAATGTGCTCTTGATCTCGAACTAGGCGACAAACTGATGAAAAAGATAAACATGGGGGTACACCGATGGGCAGCTAACAACTTGGGGGAACACAAGATGACACTAACTACTAAATCCTCAGATCTATCCGTTTTAAAATAAATTAAATGGCAATAGTCGAGATCTCGGCTCACCAAGATGTCTCTAACGGACCGCATAGGTTGTTTTCCTCGGGCCCTGAGGGATGCGGATAACTCGGATCAAGAAACACTATGGAGGGTGCATGACCAAAGCACGTGGTCGATCTCGTGATAACCACTACCACAGGCGCACAAATTGCCATTGGAAGCGATTCGAAAGAAATGCGAATCTAACGAGCAGTGATTGGACATGAGCCTTGACATGACACGTATTAAGTCACGGCTCACGTCCAACCCTTGGGAGAATAGAATGTAACCATCTTCCCAGATCACTCTCATTCCATTTTGTTGCCAGTTGGTGAGGACTTGCTGACGGGGAAATGAGAAAAAATCTGCAAAGGCGATTTGTCGATCAATCGACAAATACTTGAAAGATATACTTTGAGTGATTGTTCTACCCTTTAGTTGAAGCTGTAACTGTGCAGGATGATGCTTCCCAGAAAAAAACAACCAACTCAGTTTTCTCCGGAGAGAATTCGATACCTAGCTTCATAGCCCAAGTAGACAAATTGTCTAAAGTATCTTGTAATAGTCCTTGCAGGTCCGGTGCACTTGGCCCTATAACAGACACAACGCCATCGTCTGCAAGCGAGCAATTTTCATCAAGACAATCATCAACGTCTTTTACATAAAAATTATAAAGAAGAGGGCTTAAACATGAGCCCTGGGGGAGACCCATGTTACTAATTCGTGAAGTTGTCGAGTTTCCATGAGAAAAGCTCATATATTTCTCAGACAACAAGTTGCTCAAATAGCTGTTCATAATCGGTGAAAGCCCACTATCGTAGAGTTTATCCGAAAGGACATCGATACAAACAGAATCAAAAGCCCCCTTAAAGTTCAAGAAAACTGAACCCATTTGCTTTTTTTGCGCATGGGCCAGTTGAAATTCGTTCCTTTGCCTCTCCAAATTGCGTATCTGAAAGTAAACTATTCATCTCGCCCCTTTTGTCTAGACAAAACAGAATCATTTTCTCCAATAATTTCCGTGTACAGGACATCATCGCGATGGGACGGTACGAGTTATAATCCGACGCGGGTTTACCGGGTTTTCGAATGGCGATAACTCTTACTTGCCTCCAGTCATGCGAAACAATGTTGTGCTCCAGAAATTGATTGAATAAGTTCAACAAGCGATTTTTTTTTAAATTTAACTTGATTCTATCCATTCCTGGAGCTAAATTGTTACATGAGAGGAGAGCAAGTGAGAATTCCACCATCAAAAACGGGGAATCTATTTCGTTACTACCCGACGGAAGATCACGAACGTTGGTTTAAACCGGCACCGAATCCGGGCCAAACTTTCCGCGCGAAGCTGAATATCCAACTGTCTGAGTACTCCTTGTCTTCGTTAACCGGTGATGACGCGTTTCGCATTCTCCTGCCGACATTGCAGAGTGTTCTCATGGAAGTCTCTCGCGAAAAACCATCGACGAACCGACGCCAGTAACCGCGTTTTTTTTTGCTTTAATCAAGTCCTTAAAAGTTTTCTTGAGGTTGGTGTACCGCTCGAAATCCCCGACCTTACCCCGAATCCCATGCAACGACATGTCTATGTATGTAGTTCTTTTGAATATCTATGTGGAACGTGACACGTCAGAAATAGAGAAAACAATCACTGCTAAAGAATAACTAACACCCATCCCTGCCCCCCCCCCCCCTCTCTTGACTAGCCTATTGGTCCCAAGCAAATTGATTAACGCACCCCATTCTAGTCTAAATTCTAGTACTACACTATGTTATTTTTGATTCGCTATGAAAGTTTGACAGATAAAATGAGGGGTTCGTGGATTTTCCTATGTTTCGAGGGGTGCATCGATTAGCTTGGGACCGAAGATAGTACCAGAGCTGAACCAAAAAGTTGAGCATGTTTCTTCGGGACCTTCTGGTCTTAGAGTTACCTCTATGGTTGCACCTCGTTTTCTTAGAAAGAGAAGGTATAATAATACCACAGACAAACAGACGTAACTCTTTGAAAACGTTTTTCTTGAAAACATAGTATCTCAAAACATAGGGCCTCAGTAACGATATCTCTCTGGCTTATCGCGGAAAACAAGCTTGCTCGCTAACTCGCAAACAATATTGCATCAAAGTTCTATAGAATGTATAGGAACGTCAAAGTGATCCGATGACAGCGCTGCGGCGAGTAGTTCGCGGAACTGATAATATTTAAATCAACCGTTAAATGCGTGAACGAAGATACACAATGAAGTGTTACGTCTGTTTGTCTGTGATAATACTATCTCTTTTATCTCTTCACTGATTGCAAACACGAAGCGACTGCTGCCAGGTGTTATTGAAGTTTCGGTTGCGTTCGGTTGTAAAAAATCATGAATCTCAATCTCATCACAGTTTGGTGCAGATTTGCAGCTGGTGAGTTTTGTTCGCTTGATATTTCGAGCTACGATCACACAGCTTGCGATATCAGCCGTAGTTGTTTGCTTGTTGATTTTTGTCTACGAAAATCAAGCGTGATCTTGTTCCTTGGTGAGATTTGATTTTTTGATTTTTTTTTCCCAACACAATTGAGCGTCGCTCTTAATAGTTATCCTTCACTACTAAATTTCAATACCATGGAGACACATTACTTTGCATAAAATTGATGAATGATCAGCAATGGCAGATTATGACAGAATACGTATTTCCGGATAAACTGACGCGATTGTTCAAGGCGATGATGACTTGAAGCGTTCTCCACAACACGGTTAAAGCATTGAATAACACTAAAACCAGGGGGTCCCGAAGAAATATGCAATCTTTTGGCTCAAGAAGTACCAGACCTTCGGTCCCAAGCTAATTGAAGCACTCCTCGAGAAATAAAGATTCACGAACCCCTCATTCACTCTGTCAAATTATTAAGGCGAATCAAAACAAACATAAACATTAAATACAGTACTTTCAATCTAGTGTCAAAAGGTAAGTTATAAGAAATTGTATGTACATTTTGAAAAACTTGTACATAAATGTAAAAATCAAATTTTGTCGATTTTTTTTTCAAAATATCAGGAAAACGAAGTTGCTTACTAAAACCATCTTGATTTGATACGACTTTTAGAATCATATTCTATAAATATTATTTGCTAATTCAGTGCTAACATTTGAAAACGGCACAAAAGCCATTTGTAAACAAATGGTTTGTGGGCCCTTTACTCACTACTTGAAGTACACCCACGCGACACAACAGCAACATCGGGTAGGGGAAATTTTCCCCTTCCTGACGATGCTGTTGGTTTGCGTGGGCGTTCTTCGGGTAGCGAGTAAAGGGCCCACAAACCATTTGTTTACAAATGGCTTTTGCGCCGTTTTCAAATGTTAGCACTGAATTCATATAAAAACTTATTGCTTACCAGTACACAGCAAAAAATAATGAATTTTAACGTAAGCGCAATTTGAAAACTAGCAGAAAAAAGGCTCGTGTAATTTAAGTTCTAGCGAAGACAACAAATCAAGAAGACTGGCAACTCTTCCATTTTCTCATACAAACGATGTGAGACAGGTACAATCGCGTCATCTGCCGCTCAAAGGTAAATGCTTCGAACGAGTTTGATAGCAAAGATTACATCCTCAGAAGAAGGGTTTGTGTATTTGCTCATTTTTCTATCCGTTGCTTCCACCTTCACTCAAGTGCAGCGCCACTGTATCTGTCGCTTGGATTCTGGCAAAGTTGCCAGTCTTCTTGATTTGTTGTCGTCGGTTCTAGTGTAATTTTATGCAATATATCACGCACATGAAGTGTATCTCACTAATCATTGCAAATTAGACAGCCCAGTGGCAGGCGCGTAGGCAACATGTTATATCGTGACAGTGGGCCCAGCACAGCAAAATAAACGATTTGAGCCCGGGACATGCTGTCTACTGTCAAACGCTGCTGTTGGTATGGGCCTTGTCACTGGCCTGAAATTAGACGACATCACGTGAAATGCTACTACTGATAGCTGCGCAAGTAATTCTCTGCGGCATCTCCTATAAATTTACACGACTTTCGCGTAAGCTTTCTGGACGTGTTCAGAGTACCTGTAAGAAAGCAGAAAAATTAGTATGCCATTTTGCTTGTGCGTTTTGGCTGATTTCTAGTTTCATTATCAATCAATCTACGTTATTTCAATTCTAAAGTCTGGAAAATGGCTGGTTATAGTAATGTTTGGTTGGCAATACGTGATAGTTCAGACCGCCCGGACCGATAGAAGACGCTTGGATATAGGCCCCTGTAGCAGTGACGAGAAATGACGCTTGACTTGACTTGACGCTTGTGGAATGCTTTTTATCACAAACGAAGTGACAGACGACTAACTGGCGAAGAAATCAATTAAAATAATGTGGTTCGCTGTAATCGAATTTTCTTAGAAGCTTGTGCCACCAGATGGGATAGTATTTTTGTTTTGGT